TGTCAAAGTATGAGGCAGGAAAGAAGGTGCATACCAACAAATTGGCATCAAAATTTTCACAACTTGAATAAAAATAAGTGGATTCACTGCACATTTAACAATCCAGTTCTTATTTGCTAGAGTTTGATGCTTTTGGATGTTCTTTTTTTTGGTCCATAACTAGCTTAACAAAGTCAGGGATTTCCATTGAAACTCTTGAAGTAAACAGGCTTTGTTACAATCTTCACATTTTGTCCTACCACCCAACTTTTTAGCAAACGAAGGCACTTCCATTGATCGTCTGACTAGCCCTTCTAATAGGTGGTATTGATGACTGTCTGCCGAACAATTGACATTGCATGATTACGTAAACGATAACATGACCCTAACTTTTCTAGTTTAAAATCCATTTTTTAAATGGTTATCTAATTTTCAGAAAATTATTTTTGTGTTTTTATTTGCTGTAAGCCAAAATCATAAAAAAAATAAATAAATGGTTGATTTATATGTTTTGGTGTGACATTAATCCGTATGAGTTTTACTTTTGGATAACAAGTGGGCATTTCTACTAGATATGACATTTTTGTTAGTTTCAGCTTTGAAATTTGCTGATAACTTAAAATAAATTATTTGCCTTTTAAAATTTACATTTATTTTTTTAGATATAGTCTGTAAATGCTTATACAAAGTCACATTCCTGCTCTGTTCTTTACCAAAACCTTAATTTGTATTCTCAGTAGCCAATAAGGAAATTAATAACGCAATGAATTTGTTGTTTTTGAGTACCAACACTAAATGAAGGATATTCGAACAGCTCAGTGTCTGACATGCTAACCTGTTTGCATTTTGCAAATCTTTAACTTCAAACTCCTGGCTTGATGAGTAACAAAAAAGTACATTTAAAGCTCCTGCTGTCTTCACAATCTAAGGACTTTTCAAGGAGAATTTGGAGAGGAAATGGGGAAAGAGTTGAGGTTTAGTTGCTTGGAAGAAGTGAGGGGTGTCTTGGTTTGACCATAATCACAAATGAGTTCAGTCTGGTAAACCCTGTGGGAGCCCAACTAAAGCAAAAGTCTCCCAGATAGAAATCCTTGTAAGTTGTACTAATCAGATTTTGTTTATTACTCTGGGGTTCTTGGCTCTTTCTTCACTTTGTGTTCTCATGACCTTATCATTTCATATCAGTTTATTTTTTCTTGGTATTGCTGTTTTTTATTATGATAAATTATAGATGAATGCGTCAAGAATATCCTCCAATCAGACAGGCTCAAGATTTTAAGCACCTGAGGCGATTATGCTTGTGAATAATCAACAATCCTGGATGTTTGTGATCACTTAAATCTGTACCTGAGAACAGTAATGATGAAAATTTTGAGTATTTCTTAAAATTTCTCTCCATTCTCCAAAAAGGGAGGTCTACCTTTCCTTCACTCAGATTTGTGGGGTTGCGTGACTTTTATTAATGTATTTGAATGAAATCTCTATAAAACATTGATGGGTGGTGTAGTTTAAAGGGGTCTTATGATGCAAAATTCATGTTTTGCTAATTTTTATGGATCTCAATTGCTTCTGAAAACAATCCAAGCGCTTAAGCTATAGATATATATCCAACCGGTTTTTTTGGTGTCTGGAAAATGAGTCCTTTCAAAAACCTCTTGATAACTCGCCATCGATGGGCACTGCGCCGTTGCCTAGCAACTCAAGCTGAGCTCCAGCATGTTTGGTCAACTGGTTTTACCACTGTATGTGCTCTACAATGGCTGCTGGAAATGAGAGGTGTTTAATTGTTGAGTTACTATTCAAAAACCACTTGCTGTGTTCTTGTTGGTTGTGCAGGAGGCACCACTTCTGCTTTTCGAAGCAAATTGCACATCTGTTTGCAGCCATTTGTACACGAGTGAAGCAGTAGCTTAATTGGATTTAAAGTAACAATAGGCCCTAAAAAAGCTAATTCTGGGTAGAACTAGGCAGAACCGTAATAGGTCATCTTTAAATACATCTATTGTGTTGTATCTAACATTTTCTGAAGATTGTTAACTTGCCAAGGAAAATGTCTCCTTATAAGTTTTCTTGGATTGTGGTTGAGGTGGACCTCACAAAGGTTCCTCAAATGGCCCACAGGCCACACCACCTTTAAAGCGATACTGTTTCATGTTTTTACATTTTGGAGAAACACAAGCTGTACCCTGAAGTCATCCCAATCATGCAGGGACGTTGGATGTCTGAAGGTCGCACAAGAACTGCTTTAACTTCTTCTTGGCAATTTTTAGTCAACATGAGGCACTTTCCATAATTTGCATCTAAATTGACTCATTACTCATTCAGTCTGACTTCTGACTTAATATCTGAAAACAGGTCTGCATTTTTCATAACTGTCTAAAGTTACTTCTTTATATACTTGTGACTTTTTACCCATTTATGCCTTTCTCTTTCTGTTCTGTCAAATGTGACCGATCCAAGAAAGAATTCCAGATTTTAAAACTCCTCAGAGGTCCGACTCTGATGCAGTTACCTACTTCCTGTTTTCAAACTTGCTTCCTCTCAGAAACAAGATTTTTCCCCAAACCATTTAATGCCTTTTCTAAATCTAGCACGGAAAAGTTTGGAAGTTAGAGGGGAAAATCTGGTTTTGTTTCAGAAAGCTGTTTAAGGTGCACGACTTCTGCAAAACCGTGTCTAACTACTTGACTGGCTTCGTTATGAGCTGTCGGCACTCATCAATGTCTCTGTTCTTTGAAGCTGTTGCACAAGAATCAGCCAACGCTTTTTAAATCAGCTGACTGAAAGCCGGAATGAACCAGGTAGAAGGATTTAAATCAGTTTTTTTTTTTTGTTTGTTTGTTTTTTTTGCCTCTCTTGGAAGGATGATTTCCCGTGTTGTTATTGTTATCGCCTCTGATCGTTGTTATCCTAGCGGTGTTATTGCAGACTTGCCCTGAGGTAGATAAACTGGTTCCCAGGGCTTTTACCCAGAATCCCAGGGTTTGGTAACTTTATCCCTGTGTAGCGAGCTCTGTCTTTTCCAGAGTGGTGAGGTCTAGGTTTACTGAGAAAGTAATCTTTAAGCACATTCAAGCTCAAACACTTGCTCTTTTTGAATCTCTCGCCTTTTTATCTTGTGAACTGCAGTGCAGGAATTGGCACGTTAGTTGGAGTTTCTTTACATGTTAGTGCTTTAATGCCTCTTTTTCAATCCGTCAGTCATTAATATGATTGTGTTCAGATTCCAGGAAGGTCTATCAGATCTCTGATTGCTGCTGTGAATATCTTAACACCTGCTTTAGTAGAATGGAAATACAAAGAAACGAGTCCAATCCTTTGGACTGCAGGAATACAATTATTGATATTGCTAGTGAGGTACTTTAGAGTTTCTGAAGGTGGACATTGGAAGAAGTATTATCTGTTGCTTATCAATGGTTTCTCTGCGCAGTAGGGCTGTTATCTTGGTCTTATCTGACTAAATGCTTATAAAATACTTTATAAGGTCATTAAGCAAGGCCTGCGATAAATGGCGTAGATTTGTATTTAGGCTACTTGGTTTGGTTTGCATCTTCCTGCTAAGCAAATTGTAAATCACTGCAGTGTTTACTTTGATGTGCTAGATTTTGAAATTTGGGGGTCAAATATGTCATTTTTAAAGCTCTTACATGAACATTATTTATTTTCTATTTTAACTAAAGCTCAGTAAATCTTAACATTGAGCTATATGGTAACATGAAAAATCTACAACTGATATGTCAGAGTAGACAAACTGCCAAGTTATTTCTAATTTTGAGTTTGAAGCGTTTTAGTGACACTAAGCGATTAAGGAATGGAAATGAGTGATTGTATTAAGAAGCAATAGGCATAATAGTAGAAATGTAAGTTATGCAAATTTGTATTAAAAGATTACTTTAGATTACAATAAATAACATTGTGTAAAACCTGCAATGGTATAACGGTAAAGGAATTTTACAGTATTTGGCTCTAATTGGAAACACTGTAGGATGAACACCAATAGTTGTTCAGATATATGTTGAAATTCGGTTTATAACACTGACCTTATTGTAAAATGAAACTAGGAGCTTCAGGGGCTTGCAGAAGGAAATCTGGGCCCATTGTAGCAACACTCTGGCCCCCCAAAAAGTTGTCACTAATATTTTGTTAGATGGCCTTTACTTTTGACTATAGCACACATTTGCTGTGGCTTTGTTCAATAAGCTTCTGAAGTGCCACAAGACTTTTCCACCCAGTGTTGGATTGGTCACTCAGTACATTCAGGTAATAATGTTGCTGAATCTGATCGTAATCATGATGGTTAATCATTTCACCTGCTTCTTTTTACCCTGAAGCAGCCATCTTTCTGGAAGAGGGTAAATCTGAACTCATGACCATCACCCTTTGCTCCAGAGTCCAATCTTTATGTTCCCTTGCAAATTGAAACTTTTTTTTTTCTGCGTAGCTTCATGATTATTGTTTTTTTATGGCCATATAGCTGTTAGAGTTCCCTTTATGTTGTAAGTGGAAATGCTCTTACTTTTACTCTTAAACATGGCTTCTTTTTATTTTTCTTCAATCTGATGTCGTCAAACATTTGATCATGCCAATCACAATCATTCAGGGCTTTTTTTTTTTTTCAGACCACATTTCTTCCTCACAGACAATGGTTCACCACTTTTCTTATACTTCTTAATAAAGTTAAACAATTCTCAACCTAATCTTAGCAGTTTAGATGTTTTCTCTGCGTGGTGCCGATGATTTGACTCGTAAGCAGACTTGCATAATTTCTACTACCACAGGATGGGTCTTTCAACATGGGTAAGAATTGAGAGACAACTTATTGCATCAGCTGGAGTTAAATAACTTGACAGTTGGAAGGTGGTTGTGATCGTGCAAATATCCAATAAGATAGTTGCATCATTTTTTGGCCAGGCTGTGGATAATAGGGGAAAATCATCAACCATTTCTATTCCAGGTGTCATGAAAATCCCTGATTATTGAACCGTAAACAAAGACTCTCTCGTTGGTTTGTGTTTCTCCAGGTTATGCTGCCCAAAAGCTGTCTGAGTCCCAGTGAGAAAGAGAAGGGCTAAAGCCGCACCAGTCCAAACCAGCTTCCCAGAGCCTGAACAACAGCAACTTTCCCTGCAGAGCCATGAGCAACCCCAGCGCACCCGACCAGGTTACAGATGCTGTTGCATCAGTTGTTCACAGTGTAAGTTTACACGGCAACATGTTGGGAAGCCCTACTCGGGTCAGGTCAGGCCCATTTGATAAAATCTGCTGGTAATGAAGCGGATTAATGCAGCTCCCCTGCTGCTCACAGCAGTTTTTTGGGGCTTGTTTTGCTTGAAAATTTTGCTGCAAAGGTTTCGGTTCCCTTTATCCAGAAATCCATGTGCAGGATTTCTGCTGCTTCAGCTTCCTTGGTTCTGTTTGGCACAGAAAGTTGGTGTTTGTCACTTTTTTCGTTTTTGCTGTGCTTGTATAAATCTAGTCACTTTTAATTGTTCCAAACTTGACTCCAAAAGTAAACACTAATAAATATGTATAATAGGTTGACTTCACACAGAACTGCATTTAATATAACAAAAGAAGAAATCAAGTTGGTCTAGCAGCTTCTACCCCTATAGATTTAATAAAATACAAGTAGTAGTACAAGAAGTTCCCAGTGAGCAGTTAACAGTTGTAAAATTAAACATAGCTAAAATCCACAACATTAAAAATGTGTACAAAACACAGAAAATCACTCATGAAATACTGTATGTGATTAAATTTGTTTAAAATATAATACTTGTAAAGAAAACAGAGTTAATCCTAATATGTTCCACAGTTGTTAACGGCAACAGAAAAAAGGGGGAGGAGCTGTCGGTTACTAGTTGCTATGGTGACCACCAACTGCCAAGAGCAGCGTTAACAGAACCTTAATACAATAATGTCTGGCTAAACAAAATAAATTCAAAGAATAAGTAGACAAATTTTGACAAACTTCACATCTATAATGTTAAAATGAAACCTGGAGTTGTATACGCACAGAAAAATTTATTTATTAGAAGATTGAATGAAAAATAGATGCATTAAATCATGTTCCCTCTTCATGTTGAAGTAAAATAAATGGCCACAAAGCCTGTGTAAGGATTTCTGGTAATGCGTTAAAAGCAGTTGGTCAGCAGCCAAAGTACACTTAATTACTTCACCTTTGGGTCTTCATCTCAATAAGCTCATCTCATGATTAACTTTGAACGGCGCTAAAGTAAAAAAAACTGAGCTCTATTATGCTCCTATTGCTGTAAGTCCTCAGCTTTGGGAGGTCTGGGAACTGCAGGGTAGCTTTCCAAGAATAAGATCTGTTGTTGTTTTTTAATTTTGTATTGATTAATTCTCATTTCACAGCAGCTCTTATTATGATCTCAAGTAGAGGCTTTCCCAGAAAGGCTGCCATTGTTTCTGAACCTCTGCTTGTAAAGGGGGTGTGGAAATGCTGACGTTGCAAAAACTAAATGGATTTAGTGTCGTCTTGACCCAAAAAGAGCCACTGCTTCAAACTTTTCTTTTGTTTCCCAGAACTGTCCTGTTGTTCCACACAACGATGGGTTAATTCAGTTCAGCCATGGTTGGTCCATTTTAATCAAACTCTAGTTCGTTTGGGGACCAAAAAATGAACTCTGGTCCGCCTAAAAACCTCGGTCTCATTTTAGGTTAATGAAAAACTTCAAAAACTAAACATTGCCACTATATTCTGACTCAATTTTATTATTTTATTGCACCAAAACTATAGAAATTGCATTGACTCCCATTAAAACTATGAAGATCTATTTAGTGCTGTTTATTCTCAATGAAGGATTGTAAGGGATAAGAGATTACCTTAAACAAAATATCTACAGCCTACAGTTTACCTCTGCAAACAAGAGAGTGCAGATGCAGCATTTTATTTGTTCTACGTATATTTTATATTTGGTGATTGGGGTGGGGGGGAGATGGTAAAAGGGAGTATGGGAAAATATTTTAAGGACATTCGTATTTATCTTAAGTGACTATAGCCTGAGATCATAATAAAATGTGTCTTTTTAAAGTGGATCCTGCTTTTCTCCTGCTTTTTTCGAGTTTTGTTCACATTCTGGAAATCTTAGCCCTTGTCTTAAAACACACACATCTAAAATGCAGATGTTTCAGAGCATGAACTCTCTCAAATTATAAAAAAGAATGAGGAATTAATTCATGCATTTTTTCCACATGTAGACTTTATTTTTAAAGGAAATATTGATAAAATACTGTAAGTTTTTTTTTTTTTTTGCTGTTTAACAAAATTTTCTTAAACTTTTCTTTGGCTTCAGTCATTTATCTTTTTCTGCATTTTGTTCCCATTAAGATGTTTTGGACCAGAATCTGATAGCTGTTGTTGAAGAAGCTGCGTAGAGATAAAAATGTTTGCTCTGTGTGACTCTGTGACTGTGTCATGGAGGTTATTGGCTGTCATCTTGGCACTGACCCCAGCAGGTTAATCATTGTCTCCCTTACAGTCGGTAAATGTGTACCGAGTTCACATAACCCTGTTTGAATTCAAAGACATGTTAAACGTTTAAAGTGACGTCGTTTTTTGACTCCAACCGATCATATAAAGTCGAGCAACCAAAGAGTGGAAAACATTTTAGTTTAGCATGAATTGAATTTTCCTACTTTTGTTTTTGGCTTCTTTAACAAATCTCAGTGGCATTAATGGACTTTCTGTACTCGTTTAAGGTGAGTTTTCCCCTGTTTTTTATCTCGTGCTTGGGTTAATGTGTGAATCTGAAGCATCATTTCTTAGTTTTGGTTTCTTTTTTATAAGATATTATTCTAAAATCTCAATGTACTGACTTCCAAAGTCTATATATAGCCTGATTTGGGTAAATTTAACCTCTTTATGAACTTTGCGTCTGGTTAATATTTACTCTAGTCCACATGCTTCCTTAAAACATTTCATTCAGTTAGCTTACCGCTCTTCTCTGGTTGTCCAGAGAAACGCTAGCTCAACCAGAGAAAGCTGGTTGTCCAGATATTCAACCAGGTTTCTCTGGTTGAATATCTGAAATGGTCCAGGTCCATTTCTCTGGTTGTCCAGATATTCTGCATTTATTGACACGTTGACAGTTTCTTCTTTGCTGTAATGTCGCAGTTGAAAATTAGTGGAAGAAGAAACTTATCCCAGAGAGAAATTTAATCAACTCTGGTTACGTATGATGGCAACTGTCCGAAAGTGAAAAAAAAAAAAAAAAAGTAAGCTCAAAATTGCTTCCAGCTGCACATCATCCAAAACCAGAGGGGATGATTGTCCAAACATGCAACGGCTCAACCAAAAAAAATGCTAAATTAAAATTTACAAAAAAAAAAAACAAATTGGAACAAACGCAGGAGAGAACAATTTTTCTGTGAAACGATTAATATATTAGAATAAACTGACATTAGTTTTAGACACTTTTACAATTTCATTGCTCTAGAAATCACTGTTCATAGTGACAAACCGATCCGTAAATATATTCTCTATTGATTTTATTACAAGGATAGATTAGTTTCACTAATAAAATTTAGATCTGTGTACATTGGGTTGGACAAATTAGACCGAGTACGTGGTTACTATGGTAACCCTGACCACAAAGGTAAAAATTAGGCCAACAAAATAAGCAGTCGTTGACCCAAAAAAATTTAGTTTTCCTCTAAATAAGGCAACGGCTTGAGGCAATTTTCTTTTAGGTCTTGGATCTTTAATTGTATGCATATTTAAAAGAAGGAAAAAAAAAGACAACAAATTTTGCATTATTAATTTAATGAATTTTGTGGCCAGGTAGGATTTTAAATTTGCCAGTTTTGATCTACAGGGCAAAAGGTTTGGACACCACTCGTGTAAATGTAACTCTACATAAAAGTAGAAATTGTTAGAGCAGATTTAATGCTGAAAATACCATTTTAGTATTTGACTTCCTGCTTTTTTTTTTTTTTTGAGGAATTTGACCTAGGCTCTAAAAAAAAATTGAGCTTTCTCTGTAATGTTTGTTTTCTTAAGATTGTAAATCATGGAATTAGGAGCATCGAAGTCAGATTTTTTTTTTTCTTTGCCACTGAACACTGAAGGAATTTAAAAAGTGTTATGACTGTTTTTACACTCCTAAGGAGTGTCCTGTTTAGGAGTGTCTACCTGTTGAGGTGTGTAGTTCACCTTATTTTGTGTCAATTGAATCAAAATACTCCGAACTGCGCAGCAAGGGTACGTGTTAAGAGTTAATATAGCTAACCTATGCTCCACTTTCTTACATACATTTTTAATTAAAGTTTTTTACTGATCTGCAAAGTGATTCCCCTTTGGACCTTGTTATCACCAACTTGCAACACAAAGTTACACCCTTGGTTTTCAATTAAAACATTGCGTCCCTTTTTCAGATTCTTTGCTTGATTTTGTAATTTTCTCGACCACCGATATTCCCGACTCAATGCAAAGCAACAGCACAATAAGTCACGTGATGTCCAATCCACTAGATCAGTGTTTTTCAACCACTGTTCCGCGGCACACTAGTGTGCCGTGAGTGATTGTCAGGTGTGCCGTGGAAA